TTTGGAGGGCTATGAACCACACCTATGTAAGATGGTGAATTTAATCAATAAGTGTTGTGTGTTCCTGCTGCTCCACCGACCAACCATTCTCTGTCTATCTCCCTCTCCTTGGGCACCCCTATATCCCCTATACCCTTAGACACAAAAATATTGAAAGAAGGCCAATTAATAACCCTACAATGTCCTCTAAATGTTCAGGTGAGAGAAAGAGTCTCGTATCTTTCACTTTAAATCACAAGCTAGAAATAATTAAGCTTGGTGAGGAAGACATATCAAAAGCTGAGACCGGCTGAAAGCTAGGCCTCTTGTACCAAATAGTTAGCCAATTTGTGAATGCAAAGGAAAAATTTCTTGAAGGAGATTTAAAGTGCTACTCCACGAACACACAAATGACAAGAAAGCAATACAGCCTCATTGCTAATAAGGAGAACGTCTTAGTGGTTTGGATAGAAGATCAAACCAGCCACAACGCTGTCTTAAGCCTAAGCCTAATCCAGAGCAAGGCCCTACGTCTCTTCAATTCTGTGAGGGCTGAGAGAGGTGAGAAAGCTGCAGAAGAACAGTTTGAAGCTAGCAGAGGTGTTTTCATAGGTTTAAGGAAAGAAGCTGTCTCATAACACAAGAGTGCAAGGTGAAGTGGCCAATGCTGATGCAGAAGCTACTGCAAGTTATCTGGAAGATCTAGCTAACATTTTCAATGAAGGTGGCTACACAAAACAACAGACTTTCAGTGTAGACAAAACAGCTCTGTATTGGAAAAAGATGCCATCTAGGACTATTGTAGCTGGAGAGAAGTCAGTGCCTGGCTTTGAAGTTTCAAATGCAAGTATGAATCCCTTGGTAGGGGCTAATGCAGCTGGTGATTTTAAGCCAATGTTCATTTACCATTCCGACAATCCCAGGGCCCTTAAAACCTGTGCTAAATCTACTACTCTGCCTGTGCTTTATAATTTGAACAGAAAAGCCTGAATGACCACACATCTGTTTATAGCTTGATTTACTGCATATTTTAAGCCCACTACTAAGTTCTACTACTCAGAGAAAGATTATTTTCAAAATATTACTGCTTGCTGATAATGCACCTGCTCACTCAAAAACTGATGGACATGTATGAGATTAATGTTTTCATGANGACTATTGTAGCTGGAGAGAAGTCAGTGCCTGGCTTTGAAGTTTCAAATGCAAGTATGAATCCCTTGGTAGGGGCTAATGCAGCTGGTGATTTTAAGCCAATGTTCATTTACCATTCCGACAATCCCAGGGCCCTTAAAACCTGTGCTAAATCTACTACTCTGCCTGTGCTTTATAATTTGAACAGAAAAGCCTGAATGACCACACATCTGTTTATAGCTTGATTTACTGCATATTTTAAGCCCACTACTAAGTTCTACTACTCAGAGAAAGATTATTTTCAAAATATTACTGCTTGCTGATAATGCACCTGCTCACTCGAAAACTGATGGACATGTATGAGATTAATGTTTTCATGCTAACACAACATCCATTCTGCAGCCCATGGATGAAAGAGTAATTCTGACTTTCAAACCTTATTATTTAAGAAATACATTTTGTAAGGGTACAGCTGTCATAGATAGTGATTCCTCTGATAGAGCTGGACAAAGTTAATTGAAAACATTCTGGAAAGTGTTCACCATTCTAGATGTCAATCTGAACATTTATGATTCATGGAAGAAGGTCAAAATATCAACATTAACAAGAGTTTGGAAAAAGTTGATTGCAAGCCTCATGAATGACTTGAGAGGTTCAAGACTTTAGTGGAAGAAGAAACTGCAGATGTGGTGAAAAGAGCAAGAGAACTAGAATTAGAAATGGAGTCTGAAGAGGTGAATGAACTGCTACAATCTCATGATAAGTTGATTGCAAGCCTCATGAATGACTTGAGAGGTTCAAGACTTTAGTGGAAGAAGAAACTTCAGATGTGGTGAAAAGAGCAAGAGAACTAGAATTAGAAATGGAGTCTGAAGAGGTGAATGAACTGCTACAATCTCATGACGAATCTTGAAAGGATGAGCAAAAAGTGGTTTTTGAGATGGAATCTACTCCTGGTAGAGATTCTGGGAACATTGTGGGGATGGCAATAAAGGATTCAGAATATTATGTAACTTTAGTTGAGAAAGCAGTGACAGGGTTTCAGAGGCTTGACTCCAATTTTGAAAGAATTTTAACTGCGGGTAAAGTGCTGTTAAACAGCATCACAAGGGCCGGCCGAGGCACTCAGGAGAGTGCGGCACTGTTATCACTGAGGTCGCAGGCTCGAGTCCTATATAGGGATGGCCAGTGCGCTCAGTGGCTGAGCGTGATGCAGACAACACTGTGCCAAGGGTTGCGATCCCCTTACCGGTCAAAAAAAAAAGCATCACAAGATACAGATAAGTCTTTCATAAAAGGGTCAATCAATGCAGCACACTTCATTGTTATCTTATTTTAAGAAATTGCCGCAACAACCCCAACTCTCTCAAGCAACTACCACCCTGATTAGTCAGCAGCCATCCACAGCAAGGCAAATCCTGAACAAGCAAAAATATTACCTCTCACTGAAGGCTTGGATGAGTGTTAGCATTTTTTAGAAATAAAGTATTTTAATTAAGGTATGTATTTTTTTTAGACATTATGCTTTTGTACACAATAAACTACATTGTAGGGTAAACATAACTTTTATATGCAATGGGAAACCAAAAATTTGTAATTTGCTTTACTGTGCCATTCATTGTATTGCAGAGGTCTGAAACTGAACCCACAATATCTCCAAGGTGTTTCTGCATAAATCTGTACTGCTGATGGCATCGACTTCCTTCAGAGCAGGTGGACGGATGCATGTGAAAGGCCTGGAAGTGATATGCAGCTGATTCCAGGCAGGGATGAGGTAAACTGTGAAGCTACACAACACTTCTCCAGAAGGTGTCAAGGGCAGGCCTGGAGATAATAAAAATGATGATTGTATCAACACAGTGTGATGGCTGCAGGAATTATACCCACTGACCTGAACACAGTCAGGGAGTAACAGAGTTTGTTGTGGACCCTTTTCATACATGAACTCATTTAGACCCACAACAATCAGGTGAAGTAAATGCCATATTCTCCAGTTTTTATGGAGGAATCTGAAGCAAAGAGAGGTTCAGACACTTGTCTGGGGCCACCAGCCTGTGAGCAGCAGAGCTGGGATTCACACCAGGTGCTCTAGTTCCAGAGCCCAAGCTCCTGAGTGCTATACTCAGGAGGAAAAGGCCCACAGCTGCTGTGTGGGGCCAACATTCTTGGAGAGGGTTGGCCATGAAGTTAGGAGGAGATAATCCAGACTATTTAATCCCTGGGGCAGAGGAATTTGTATAATGGGATGACTTGGTGATTCCCAGTTTTTGATATTTCATGAAACTCTAAAATACATTAAAAATTAGAAAACCCACACAGTGATTTGGTCCAATAAGGACATTTCATGGCCATCCATTATCATCTACTCCCACCCATATTTCATAAAAGAAAGGACTTTGACCAGCAACAACAGCAGAGGATGGCACCTCATACGGAAGACACATCTTGTCCATTACGTTGAGCTTTCTGAGGACTCACTGAAGTGGCCATATTTTCAGTACTTTTCTGAGGACAGGAAGATACTAGAATTAAATGGATGGAGCTTGAACAGTGCCTGGAAGAGTCGTGACACCTGGTCTGTGCTCAGGGAACCTGAGCTGTGACCAATGTTAATCTATTCTCTAACCTGACTCACATTTTATTTTTCCTAAAATAGATTGTACTCTAAAAATGAATTTTATATCTCTCCACGAAATAGGAAACCAGTTTGACTTGCCACAAATGTATGTTTACTTTGCAAAACCAAGAATAAAATCAAAATAATGCTGTTAAGTTCCAGGAATCTTATGGTGCCTGTCTGGGGCTGCTTCCTCTGCTGAAAAGGGAAATTAGTAGCAGTGAGGGGTGCAGTCAAAATCCAGCATGTCACCATGACTTTCTCCTGACAACAATCAGTAGGAAAAGAAGAGGGAGATCCCTTTTCCCAGGATCCTGCTTTGGCTCTGGGGAGCCCTTGGATTGGGGAAGTTGAGCTGGTGGGAAGAAGAACGTGTTGTGAGGGGGGCCCTGAAGCTTTGATTTTCTGTCCTCTCTGTTGAAGAACACTTCCACCCTCTCTCCAAGCTCCTGGAACAAGATGACCATGACCCAGACCATCGGGAGGCGCAGGGCCAGAGCTGCTGCACAGGGAGCCTATGCTCATCCTCAGGCCACGGGTGCCTCAGCTCTTCACCTCCTGCAATGCCAGGGAGGGGGATCGCTACTGTTCCCATGTACACAGAAGAAAACTGAGTCCCCGAGAGGGGTCGTGGCCTTCCCTTAAGACCCCGGGATGGTGGGCAATCCCAGATTGCCCTGG